TGCGGATGGGGGTGGGGAGTCCCGAAGGGCCTGACAAATTCAAGAATTACCTACAAGAGGAATAAATGTAGGGGATCCAATTACTTTTTATGCGGGGAGGGGCATCTTTTGTAGTTACGCCACTGCTTGTAGTGCACGGTTAGTCAGCAAGGATCTCTCCGACTTTCAAAGTTGTAACACGGCTGACAGGAATGTCTTACCGTTCAAGTTATGGGTTTAGCTGAAATATAATGTGGATTTTTGCTTTGTTTTATGTATTGTCGTTATTTTCTCTCTCTTTCTAGTCAGTTCCATGTGTGGGATTTTAAATCGATTGAGGCAAAATTCGCTGTGGTTCACGCGGCACTAACAGCGCAAAGTTCTGGAACACGCATAAATATTTAACAAGTTCAAAAACACTCTTTGAAAGTTGATCAATACTTTTTAATCTGGAGTTTACTTTTGATACCTTCGATCAATAATGGTTATACTTTGTAGCAAGTAATTTAACTTAAGTGCGACGCTACAAACATTTTAATGGTACTTACCAGTGAACTAAAACATTCCCTCCGTTCGTCCGAGCACTGTGGATAAAGTCGTTACACCGGGGAAAGAATTGAGTCAGATTTTGACAGGGCGAATCAGACGCTTGGATAATAAGGTACGTCTTGTCCTGTACATAATGGCAAAGAAATATACATCTGTTTCTTTAATTATGTATGCCTTCATTAAAACAAAGCGAATCTTACCAGCAATTCTATATATATTATATAATCAAAGTTTCAATAGGTAATATAAAACACATTTAATATCTGTAAATTATAAATGAATCAGTACATTTCATATCATAAAACTTGGTTGTTGTTTGTTTGTTTGTTTTGAATTTCGCGCAAAGCTACATGAGGGCTATCTGGGCTAGCCGTCCCTAATTTAGCAGTGAAAGGCAGCTAGTCATCACTACCCACCGCCAATTCTTGGACTACTATTTTGCCAACGAATAGTAGGATTGACCGTCACATTATAACGCCCCCACGGCTGAAAGGGCGAGCATGTTTGGTGGGACGGGGATTTGAACCCGAGACCCTAAGTTTGCGAGTCTAGCGCCCTAACCACCTGGCCATGCCAGGCCAAAATTGTTTCAAGTGTCAATCTTAATTTGTTGAGCTCATAATCTTTTACTGTACACACCCAAGTCCGACTTTGGCCTAAATAGTGCTAAAATGATTACATAAGACTAGTAGAAACGTATTTTCGAAAACAATGGTACTCTTCTTAATACGATTTATGATTTCTTAATAATTCAAAGAACGTACTTATAAACTTGACGAAAGTCGTCCCCTGCTGACTCAGCAGTAAGTCTGATGGCTTATAACGCTAAAAATCGGGTTTTAATACTGACGGCGGACAGAGCACAGATGGCCTGTTACGTAGTTTTGCACTTAGCAACATACAAAAAATATTTTGACGCAAGTCTCCCTCTAGATGAGCAATACTCATAGAAAGTAATACTCTACGAGCTAATAGGGATTTTTTTTTATGTCAGAAAAAAGTGACTAATAACAAAAATATCGAGTGGATCCAAAATAAAAATCTAGCTGAAATCACGTGATTTAGATTTTTGGTATGACACCTGAGAAAGTCAAGCTTTCAGTTACCTCGAACACAGACTGGACGAGTTCTCGTTACTTGTCGGCTCGACTTTAGAAAGAAAACTAAAAAAAAACAGCAGTTAGAAAATCCAGCCTAAAAATATACCTAATTGCATTGGTCTCTCATTAGTTTTTGATTAGATTCTGAGGGCATCTAGTGGTAATTGTATCACTCATTTGAACTGTTTTAAATATGTCAAATTATGCTTCTTTCTGTTTACTTATTATGGGAATCATTATATTGATTTCTACCAATAAAATGCCTTCCAAAATATTTTTATGTTACCTATATGAGCCTTTGAACTTGGTTTAAAAAGTTGCAACACTGTTTTGTGAATTCCCCATGAACCAAATTTTTAAATGATATCTGTTGCCTGCTTTCCCCCATCAACTTCTCCACGAAGGTCACGACAGCTAAATTCGGGACAACTGACCCTGGACTAATATAATGTTTTCACATCGTTTAGGGTCAATTTCTTTCTTCACAATTCAATCAAAACCAGAAGAATTCAGTTTAACCCAACAAAGCGTTTTCTGTTAAACCTCTTGTTATTTGCGGCTTGCACCGAATCTCCAGAGGAAAGCAGGTTATGTTGAAGTAAAACATTCTAGTTAACATGAGGCAACAGTGTCTCTATATACCAGCTCGTGGTTGCAGGTTCACCTACGTCAGATCATTCTAGCCCTAGTTTGGTGTCATATACATTATTGTATTTTCACAAGTTTCGTAATCTGTACCACACTTGCACAGCTCCATGCAGTACAGGCCTGCATGTCTACAAGTGCAAGAACTTCTTGAACTTGCACATCAATCACAGTCTCTGGAACTAGAGGTATGAACATTCTCATTGGAACAATAGCTCCACCATTTAGCTTCCACTAATAGTCACAAGGATCAGGAATTTTTGAATGAGCAAAATCTTCCTGCCACCATACCATAGACATATAATTAGTTCTTTTAGTATTTCATCTCTGGAGATGAAATGTTCTGATTCAATTGTTTCTTTTTTTTATTGAACACACTTCACCATCAAAACACAGTCTGAAGTTGGATATTGCCAATTTATACAACTGACACGTGAATTTTTTTCACTGCATGGTCTGAAACTTCCATATGTCCATAAGTTTTCCAGTGGCACCACATCAATAAAGTGACGCGAAGGTCTGGAAGAGTTGTAACGCTTCTACTTTCGAAGATACCAAACATTAGTTTTAGGGAATTTGAATCCCTTAATTTTCCAGTTCCAGAGTTTATAACCATATCATTACACAGTTTCTGGATAGCATCAAAATACCATAATTAATATGTCTGCATCCGATGAATGTGTTTCCAGTTCACCATGCCATAGGATTAATGACAAGAAGCATCAGAGGTCACAATTACATCAAATTACAGATAACTTTATCAATCAAATACATTGTGAGTGTTCCTTGGTTAGTGTGTGTAGCTAAACTTAATTACTGACACATGTTCGATCTTGGTAAAATAATCTTCAACATAAGCTACAGGAGTATGCTTCCCTCTTCTTCTATACTGACAAAACAAAATTTACCTGTAAAAAATCAAATTCTGATGGTTTAGGAAGTGCTACAACATCTTTGACCTTGAATTTAGAAGGAAAACAGTACTGACACATGTACAATCTTGGTAAAATAGTTCTCAACATAAGCTACAGGAGTATGATTCCCTCTTCTTCTATACTCACAAAAACATTATATCCAAGAAAATATGAGAATTTAAAAACTTTTTTTTAAGTCTTGACCTTCAACACGGAGGGGGAAATGGCCACATTGATTTTCATGTAACCTTTCAAGAGATATATATGTTGTCAGTTTTTCTCATTAACTTCCCACAGAACCATAAAAAAGTTGAGTTTAAAATGACAGACAGTAGTAGCTTTACTGGAGCTTCCAGAGACACTTAGTAAAAAAAAAAAGAATAGTTCCAAACTTAGAAAACATAGCATTATATACATAGTTCTAGAATGCTATTCTTTTCTGGGTATTTGCACTACTTCTGTCACTGTTGGCCATTCTATATGAAAAATAAGGGAGTTTGTATCCTTGAGGTATCAACTGACCTTCCAGTGGAAAATATCATTGGTTGCCTTTATATAGTATGTTCTACTTTACAACAAACTTTTCCTTGAGAAAACACATGTGATATCATACGTAAATGACACAGAACAATAGTTAACTAGGATGAAAGAAACTTAGCCCCTTCCTTGAACAACGTTCCACTTTAAACCTACACATTTTCTCTTCCCTTTGCCTTCAGGCCCTCCTCGGCCATCCTTGATTTAAAATTCAATTAAAATAACTCCCGCATTGGGGAAGAAATCGGTGCAATTTCTTATTGCCCCTGTAAATCTCTTACACAGAAAAACACACAAGTAGAACAGAGAACATAATTTTACAGGAAAATAAAATCACTAATTACAAGTCAATTTAAAACATAAATTCGGTAAATTGAAACTCTTGTTCCTGGAGCTAATAAATTCCATTGATGTAAACGAGAGCCAAGAAGTTCCCCATGCTGCTTTGATAGAGACAAGTCACGAATCAGATCACTTAGCTTTTCTTGTGTGATCAGATGAAGCAGATTATGTTGAGGTACCACAGGAATAGAATTACTAGATGAAGATGGTGTAAATTATTCATTGTCTTCTTCGAATGATAACTCTTCTCTTTCCCAATTCGCTAGCGGGTGTGACACTGGAAGACCATACCCATGAGGTACTGGTTTCATTGCAGATGCAATAATTGGATATTTAATGTATTGTTTAGTTTTGCTTGAATATCCAGAAACATTAGTCATGCAAAAATAACAGTCAGTTAGATGATATTTGGGCTCACGCCATATCATGGAAACTGCAAATGGCATACTTGCTCTCTTCATATTAAGCCACTGTGTCAAGCTAGATGTGCAAACTGTACAACACACACACACACGTGGAGCTCAATGTTTTTCTTGGTCACAAATTTACACCCAAAATAGTGGTAGTAAGCTACCTTTACTTTGTGTGTGATATTTTTCGTTCTTGAAACTGTAATATATTTTCCACAAATGTAGCAGAAACTGTTTGGGTGATTTTTGCACTTTCGGATTTTACTTGAACTCGAGACAGGCAGCATTTCAAATGATTTTCTAAAAAATATAAAATAATTTATGTTTACAAAACTAGAG